AACAGGATATTGTTTTAGATGTAAAAATAATATGTTGCCATCATGACTAGTTGTCACAACTCTGTCAATCTCTCTTCAAGTATGCTTTAAGTATACAATTTGGAAACCATTCCTACAATTTGTGATATCAGTTTTTATATATATGTGAAGAAGTACATCCTTTTGTCTATCCTAAATCTACCATAATTCAACTTCACTAGATGATCTCCAGTTCTGGTATTCTAGGATGGGAGGGACACCTGTCCACTTTCTTAGTTTTTCTCACTTCTATTACTTCTCCTTTTTGCCATTACTTCTGAATTTAACAAGGGGCACTGCTCATTGCACCCAATCCATCTTGCGGAAGGACTTCACCTTGTGATAAGAAGATGCTTTACCTTGTGAGGCATTAAAGCATGGCCAGTCTGCCATCAACTGTTTTAATTCTCTAGGACTAACTTCTATGCTTTTCTATCAAGGGAATATAGTGGATGGGCCACCACTGGACCTTATCATTGCTCTCACAGGGCTTTCAGAGGGGAATACCCCTTTGAAGGTTTGCCCAGCCATATTTAAAAGCCTCAGTTTTGTACACTTTCCTTGTAAGAAGTTACTTTAACTTCTTGATTATTTTATTTATTTGCACTTTTTCCCACTTTACACTGTTCTTTTAGTGTTATGTTGACCAGAACTGAATATGTTATTTCCAATGAATCTGTACTATAGTATTACAGTTTTTATAGACATTATGGACTGATTGTTTTATTTACTACTGCTTTCTTGATGATTTGTAATACACATTTATTCTGTTCATAGCAGCCACATATTTGATTGATGTTTTCATTGGGCCATCCACCACAATTCCAAGTTCCTGATACTGGTTACTCATCCATTGGCCAATAAACCTTTCTATCCCACTGCTTGTGTGCAAATCATTTATGACCAGGTAAAAAAGAAATGACCCTAATGCATATCCTTGAGAGGCCCCATAGCTTATCATCTTTCAGGTTAGAAAGTTATGAATGATTAGATTCTTTTATATAAATAAACTTTGCCCTACAAACTAATCTATGAAGCATTCCGATAGCATTGTATATGCTTTTCTGAACTTTACAGAAAGATATATTTTTCTATTTTAATAGGGAGGTCCCAGTATGCTATGTGAAAAGTTAGTAGTTGATCCCCTGCATGCTACATTTGTCTATACTCATAGATACTTTAGGAGGTTAGGCTAGTAATTTCTTACTTTGAAAAGAATGACAGTGAAAGGAGATACATATACATATTTCACAAACTCAGACCCTGATTCATCACTTTATTGCCAGTTTCAGGTTACAAGAGTGAGGCATGCTTTCTTATTTCCTGTAAGTAAACATTTTAGCTAAGTAGTTCAATTGGCATTGTAACAGCTGGAAAATGTACATAGTTTTCAGCACCAAGGACAGTACCAGGTTACTGGCTTTCTGAGTGGCAATTCCCAGTCACAAATTCATTATTATGGCTATTTATTTGGGGATTAGATTCTTATCTTATCTATTTTTTAAATAAGAACATTATTATATTATATTACAAAGTACAATTAAAATACAAAACATAAAGTACAGCAAAGAGAGAAGATAG